ATGTGCTTATGAAAATAATGCACAGAAGGCCACGTGGTCTGTAAAATGTATAATGTGTGCATTATTTGTGTAAAGCATGGTATTTAAAACACATTGCTGGTGTTCATTAATACATTTATACAATTGCTATATTTAAAAGAAGTTTGAATGTTTTGTGGTCATACCAGATATGGTCATGAGCTGTACAAAAAATGGGCAGATTTTATCTATTCTATATTTGATATACAGGGGAAAAATGGGAAAATGGTGAGTAGTGGCTGAATCCTGAAAGAAACAGCCTTAACACTTAATTGAATATTTACTGTACAACTGAATTGTTAATTTATTCAGATTTGCAGATATCAACTATGCAGAAAGACACTTTATATACAGTGACACATCCATTGAGATCTTGAATTTCTTAAATTTTTCATATTGTGAAACTTGTATACTGAATAACTTATGAATGCAATGAGTTTTGTTTCCTGCAAGACTAGGTTTAGCACCTATAACGTGCAAATAAAATGGTTGTGATAGAGATGATCATCATATTTCAAGTGGTGAAAACAATATATGGGGAGCCAACGTTTTGAGGTTTACTGAACCAATTTGTACTATGACTGTCACTTCTCCAAAATATAATTTTAAAAAAGTTAAAATTTCTATTATTTTATTGTAGTTATTTTTTTTTCTTTCCTCCTCTCATCCTTTCTGTTTGATTAGACTGTTTCTAAGCTCTAGAGTGAAATCGAATTTGTGGGTTGGGTTTACAAGAGTCTATAGGGCTCCCCTGGGAAGGCTTGGACTCTCTGCTGATTACCCTGCAGTCTTTGAAGCTGCATAACATAGAACCCAAGGAATGTTCGCAGTAATCATAGTCTAATTCTTCATGCAAGCTCTGCACCAACCTTACTTTTAACCTGAAGATAATCATAAGGAAAATGGGAGTGAGGGGAGATTAGTCCCCTTTATTTGTTAATGAAGAGGCTTTGTTTCTCTGAAACCCAGTTTGTCCAATAATGCTAATGTGTCTGTAATTATTTTGTTTCTTGTCAATTCCTTTATTTTTTGTGTAAGTCTTTACTTACTCTGTAATATGATTTTATAGAAATTATATCACTTAAATATGAAAGGTAGCGAGAAATTACATGCTTCTAAAAAATCAACATAATAATCACAAAATATTTAGTGAAGACATGTCTCCCATTATTATGCCCTTTCTGTTAAGTTTTTATGTGCTCTTCAACTGAGGCAGGATTATGTTCTATATCAATGAGGAGCTCTGTCATACTGCTTTTAGCTGTATAATCCTTGTTCATATAGTATTACAAAACTGGGTCTCAGTTATATTATCTATAAACATAGAAACTAAGAATAGATAATTTGTAAAGTTCTTACAAAGCTTGAAAACTAGTTTGCTTTGTTCATAGACTTGCACTTAGAAAATAAATGTATAGCTCTTATATAACCTTGAAAATTCCTATGATTTTTAATAGAATGATACATGTCTACCCTCTAAAAGTAAAAATTATCAGGTCTTCAGATGATCATTAAACAAAATCAAAACATAAAAATTTTAATTATGATTTTAGCATATTCAAGCAACTTATAAAATTTAGCAGCAAGTTTATAAAATGTCATACTTTATTTCCATAATACCGGCTATTTTTATCCTATAGACCAAAATGTATTCCATACTATAAAATGAAGAATATTAAGAAGAAAATTATCATTTGGAGACAAAGTTATGTAAACCCCATTTAAATTTATTACTAGATTTTATTTTAAAATTTACAATACTTCACAAAAAAATAAAAGTATGAGCCAACAGCATTTGGCAGCTTTAAAATACTTCTTTCAGGTAATTAATTCAAGAAATATTTAAAGAATACTTACTATGTATCAAGCACTACCCTAGATGTTGAGACTACCACGGTGAACAAAACTGACAATGCCCTTACCATGTGGAGTTTATATTCAGAGACGCTGAGGGGCTGATGGCAAGTGAAGAAGGAGAAAGAAAATAAGGAAATGTACAATAAGGCCTTCTCATTAGCCTTGCTGATGAGAGGATATTTGAACAGAGACCTAAAGGAAGAGGAAGAGAGCTCTGTGGGACAGAGAGAACAAATGCTGAAGCAGGAACTTCTTGGCAATTGGAGTGAAGCAAGGGATAGAATGGCAAAGAATGTAGTCAGAAATGTGAGTGCTAGTGTGTGTTTCCAATTGCAAACCAATTCTCATGCATATGTATCAGAGTAGGCCAGAACTCCATAGCATTTTCAGTAGCTGATTTTTCAGAAATAGATATCCAGACATTTCTTCTGAGGTTCTTCTGGGTGGACTCAAAGCTCTAAACTTTCACTTAGCAGCCAAGTGTATTAATCCTCTATACCACCTGAGGATTCTGTGTTTGTGTGTGTGTGTGTTTAAAAAAGCATTACCATAGAAGATACAGTAATTAAAAAAAAAAAAAAAAAAAAAACTCAATTCATTCCAGATGGTCCAAATGAAGAATCTTTATGAAAGGACCAACTACAAAGGAATGAATGGGGTTAAGGAAACTACAAATCATCATGTCCTAGCATGTCTTAAGAGGTGTTCTGTTGGTGCAGTGCTTAAGGCATTTGATTGCTAACCAGAAGGTTGGAGGGCCACTTTGAGGATGGAGGATGGGGCAATCTACTTCTGTAAAGATTACTGCCTTGGAAATCCAATGCTAGTTGCTATGAGTCAGAATCAACTCAATGGCAGTGAGTTTGAGTACTCCTTAATAACAATTCCCCTGTGGATGACTACTGCCTAAGATCTGCTTGAGCCCTTCTCTTGATCTTCATTTCTGTCTCTGTACATCCCTTCATACTTAACCCTAGATAGGGAGAGAAGAAGAAGCGGAGCTTTAAAAAGAAAAAAAAAATATATAACTATATTGCAATTTAAAAGATTACAGATGGTGGTACACAATGAATGTGGTAAGTAATTACTTCTGATTATATTTCAAAAGTAGCTTCAATGGAATTTACTAATGGATTAGTTATAAGGTGAAAGAGAAATGAGAGAAGTCAAAAATGATTTTAGGTTTTTGACCTGAGCGTCTGAAAAGTTGGAATTGTTATTAACTGAAATGGGCATAGACCACAGAGAGAAGTGATTTGAAATAATTAAAAATATATAGTAGTCCAGCTCCTTAGAAAAACTCGAAAAACCAAACTCACTGCCATCAAGTGGCTTCCAACTCATAGTAGACCCAATAGGGTTTCCAAGGCTGTAAATATTTTGTTTATTCAAACCGCCAATCTTTGGTTAGCAGCACAATGCCTTAAGGCTACCAGAGCTCCTCCCATAGGAAAGTATGTGTAAAATAAACACAGTGTGAACCCAATCATGGTTTTTATTTTTTTGTACTGAATACAAGAAATACTTTTGAAAAAATATGAATGTTAGTTGTTGCTTTTTGTTTTTTAATGTTTTATAATATTTTTGCCATTTTTTATTTGTTAGATACCCTAACACCATGTATTCATGCCATCTGAAAATTCTTCTTTGTCAGGAAACTTATGCAGTTTGAATTTTTCCTGTATGTTTGGTGTGACCATAATGAACTTTAAAATATTTGAAATGCTGCTGAAATGTGTCTGTAAATTCAGCTTCCGTGGAATAGCTATATAGTTATATATTTAATTGGTCATTGACCATTTTCTAGATAACATATGGATTCTGATTGACAAATTAATAAATGGAACAAAAGGTATGAAGGAATTCTTGAGATATTAAGAATTTTAAGTTTATGAGATAATGCTATGCGGAGACATTTTGCCTTCTTTCAGTCAGAACAAGAGAAAAGAGGAGAAAAAGAGAAGGAAACAGAAAATGTAATTAGTAGTCAGGACTCAGTTGACTTCAGAGGTCACTATCAATTTAAGATTGTGGTTCTCAACATCTTGGGAGTCACAGCTTCCTTTCTGAGTATATTGTAAGCCATAAATTTTTACCTAAGAAAAATGCCCTGACACTCACACTTCGGCTTATAATTTTAGGAGATTCAGCTATTCCCAAGGCCCCAGAGTAGAGGGTGTCTACACTTTAAGAAGCTTTTAAGGAATATTGCAGGTTGTAGAATTCTTCCCTAGAGATGTAGAAATATAAAGGCAAAAGAGGAAGAGACTGCTAACTGGGAAGTGCATACAGGATTTTACTGCCCTTCATAAAGTGTCCACCTTTTCCTTGTAAAGCACTGTCTGTGTGACCTGAGTGTGTAGTGAGACGAGAGGTTGTGTGTAGCCAAATTGACCAGTATTTTCCATAAAAGTTTCTTAAGAACAGATGAATGCCAACCACATGGCATCTTCTGCTCCAGAGTACAGTTCTACATTTTCTTTTTCAAATTTCTCCTAGCTGCTAAGTAAATTTATACAGTCAAAGCACAACTCTATGGAAAAGGAATTTAAAATGATGTCAAATGCAGCAACTTATTGGCTCAAATCTCATTGATAATTTTTTCTCACTTTTCATGTCTCCTGCTCTTGTATTTTGAATACAAAGTGTTTTAAGATGGAAGAAGATCATGTGAAACTAGCCTCATAACGACTGTGTTTCTTGGGCCATAAACTAGCACAAATTATATCTAACAATTCTAATTAAAATAGAAATTTAATGGATTTATATTCAGTTCTTTCCTCTGGTGATGAAACATTTAGATAATGTAGTACATCAATGAAATTCTGATGATAGCACATTAAAAAAAAAAATTAAAATGCATATTGTGACCTAACATGATCTTCAAATGCTAAAGATTTAAAAATTAGAGTTAGATATCTATGGTTTACCTAAATAAGATACAAACCATGTTCTCTGGAGTGAAACAGGGATCATATAATGAATGTGAGACAAAGACAACAGTTAAACATTGACTTTCTGATATCAGCTTTAGGAACAAAATGAACCTTTCACATCCACCTGTGCTAGGAGTGACTGGGACCAGCCAGAGTATCTGATTAAAGGATTTAATTATTGTAGTTGAGCTCATCTGGCTCCACATAATGCCTCACTGACTTCTGATTTAATTTACTTTAAGTTAAATTTTCAAATTCTCCTTCTCTCTCTCTTTTTTTAATGTTATACTTTTCTAAGGACACCATAAGTTCATCATGCAATTTAATTTTTTTTTCCTGGTACAAAACTTGTATTTTGAATTACTTGCTCAGAAGTAATATATACCTGTTCTTGACATGGATATTCAACATGTTTCCATGAAGGTCCAGTAGAAACCAGAGGTGTTGATAAAATAATTTATGTCATAACGAAATTATTTTGTAAGGCATTTTACATTTTCTTTCTTTCAGTCACTATGAGAAGAAAAAATAAAAATAACCCCGAAGTGACCCTGTGAGATGAGGACAGTAAAGGTATTTTTTTTTTAAGAAAAAACAAGCATAATTTGTTTTTCAAGTTGTTGCAATGTTTAATAACAGTTTGCTATTATTTATACCATTTTATGTGCTTCTTTATCAGATACAAATTTCAGTAGGGAAATAAGCCAACATTCCTAAAAATGAATTATAAATAACTGTGTCTTAGAATACTAAAAGGATTTTAAAACTTTCAATTAAGCAAAGTTAATCTCTTCCCCTAATTGAAATAATGGAAAATAAATGTGTAGACATTTTCATGGCTTGGGGGGAAAATATCTTCGGGCTTTAAGCCCCCAAGGTCATGTTCCTTAGTAGCCATTGTTGGGATCTGCTTCCACTACAGTCCTGCATGGTAGGTACCATTTTGTCTTCTTCTGAAGGTTCATCGAGACATTGGTTACTGTTAACATGTCTCAAGGTGAGTTTCTGTAAAAGATAACCAATAATGTTGTTGTCGTTGTTATTATGTGCCGTAACCAATAATAAGTACAGCTTATTTCATCTTAACTTCACTAGTACATCAGGTTAAATTCACTCTCTTAAAAATCTTTATTCTAGTGCAATACATTGTGATATATTTGTAAAAGAAACTTTGCACAAGTGTCTCTGAATTAATTACACACAACTTTGACTATTAAAGTTTCATCATTGTCTAATATACCTTTATTTGCAGATAGTTAAAGAAATTGGCTGACATTTATAATTAACTATCAAGAATTCAGGTTCCTTTGCAAAAAGCTCATTTGTGAGCTCTGAGGTCAGTGAGGGCTTCCCCAATACACTGGTTTTCATGTTGTGTTGTTGTTGTTATATGCTGTTGAGTCAGACCCAACTCATAGTGACCCCTCCTTGGGTTTCTGAGGCAGTGTCACTACGGAAGTAGATTGTCCCATCTTCCTTCCAAGGAGTGGCCGGTGGGTTTGAACCACCAGCCTTCTGGTTAGCAGTCAAGTGCCTTAGCCACTGTGCTACCAGAGCTCCCACTGGTTTTCATAGGCATATGTTATTCAGTAACAATTTGGTAAACACTCAAATGGATGTCACAGCTGTGACCCACAAGCACAAAACTTTTAGTGATGTTCCTATTTCAAGACAATCAACCAACCACATTATCTGTGATTCTGAGACATTCATTGTAGAAGAGTGATTATCATAGCAGCCAATGATCTGTGTTACTTGATAGTATGCTTACTGAATTTTGGTTTGCATTTTGAAGGATATTTAAAAATATGTCAATATAAAATAAAAACAGGTGATATATTTTAAATGCCATATTTATATTTTATTTTTTAATAATAAATATTCTCCTTACACGCAGATGTTGAAATGAGTTCCAATCATTTCACCATGTTACATAGTCATTGTATGTCTTCTCTTTTGAGTTTTCCCTTACATTATGAAATTATTTTCTTTGGATTTCCCAGATATATTTAAACCAATATGCTTTAATGTGTACTAGGTATTTCTGCTCCGTTTATGGACAACGTCTAGAACCATATTATATGAAAAACTCCACAACCAGAAGAGTATTAATGTGTGAGAAGGCATTTGTAGATATGTCTTCAACAAGCATTATATATAATTTTTTTTGCAAACTATTGATATTACATTGAAATTCAGGTTCCATGCAACAAAAATGGTGGAGAAACACACCCAAAACGATTGTTAGTATGTTTGGATTAGGACTGAAACCACCCTAAAATACACTTCTGAAAAAAGTGGAATAAACGTGGGAGCAGAATGCTTACTAGAAAAAAAGCAGGAAATTAAAATAGCAAGGCTATTAGATGTGAAGGAGATTTCAAGACTGAAACTTTGGTTGTTGCTCTTTCAATTCACAGAATCAAGCTATTTGTACTAAAATTGGAGAAAGCAAGAAGTGGCCAAAGATAGGCAAAAAGATGGTTGATTTAATCTTAGGACACCAGAAATTAAACCAGCAACTAGCTTGGAGAAAGAGACAAAACAAAACCAGTATTTTTTTATAAAAAATTCTAGTTAAAATCAACTAAAAATTCTTCATTTTTGTTATGTACCTGAGATTCTTTGCATATATATCTTCTTTCCAAAAAAACACTTACCCTTGCTTGCTTCTATTAGATCCTTTTGAAAAAAAATTTATGATTTTATATATGTAGAGTATGCTTTTGCCCACTGAACTATTCCAAGAAGCTCAGCCATTTTCTTATTTTAATCTAATCACACGTAACAATAATTGGTGGTTTTGATTAATTAGCAGTTACCTTAGGTCAAAAATGTATATATAAATACAGACTTTGAGACTTCTCCTTACTGATCAAATTGAATACAGGGTGTCAACTATATTGTTGTTCTTAGCAGATGTCAAGTTGACCCCTGACTCATGGCAACTCCATGTTTTATAGAGTAGAACTGTTCCATAGGGTTTTCTTTGCTATAATCTTTGCAGAAGCAATTTGCCAGGCCTGTCTGATGCCAAGTCACTGAGTGGATTTGAGTTGTCAACCTTTATGTTAGCCACTCACAAACAGCTTGTGCTACCCAAGCAGGCTCCTTGTCAACCAACCATGAAAAAAAAAAAACACTCCTGTCTAGTTGATTCGACTTATAGTGACCCCTCCTTGGGTTTCCCAGGCAGTAGCACTAGGGAAGTAGATTGCCCAACCTTCCTTTCAGGGAGTGGCTGGTGGGTTTGAACCATCAGCCTTTTGGTTAGCAGTCAAATGCCTTAGGCATTACACCACCATAGCTCCCCAACTAACTATACAAATAATAATAATTTTAGATATTTAGTAATTATTTTTCTTTCTAACAAAAATATTAATAAATATTTTCTTTGAAGGAATTCATTATTTGTCAAAGCCCATAGATAAACAAAGGTAAATAGCCCTTCAAAATTCTCCTTTTCAATGTGGCACAGGACAAAGAGCAGATAGCCTCAGACCTGAGTGTGAATTCCTGCCTCCCTGCTTGTTGTTGTTGTTGGTATGTGCCGTGGAGTCGGCCCCGACTCATAGCGACCCCGCCTTGGGTTGCCGAGGCAATATCACTACGGAAGTAGATTGCCTCCCTGCTTACTAGCTTTGAAAACTTGGGCAAGTTCCCAAGTCATCCTATGGGATACATTCTCTGACAGAAAATACTTACTTAAAAATATCATTTTTCCCTTCTGCTTTTAAAAATATGACCTTCAGTCAACTATCCTGCTCTAGTCCCTTGTCATCTTTATAAGAGGAAAAATATTAGTGATGCTTGTTGAAAACATTGCTTATAGTAAAAATGACCTCTGCTAGGTAAACTGCATCTGGCCTTATAAATTATAAATACTTGATAGAGAGCCAAATGTTGAGCTTCTCTAAGTGCAGATACTCTTGTAATTTTGCATTTTCTATTGAATTCCTGGAATACCATTAAGTCTAGAAAGTTGTTACAAGAAATATTATCCCCTGTGGAACATGAAGCTATTTAGCCAGGTTGATTTCCATACTGGTCTTATGTGGCTCTCATCATTTTGCATTAGGCTGTCAACAGTGGAGAAGCTACTTTCCAGAAGGCTGCGAGACCTGCTTGGGAACTGTTGTAAGTTCCTTCACTGAGTGATGCAAGCTGTCGCTCTGCCCTAGAATTCTTGGAATAAACTGATGCTTTCTGACTTGATGTTCAATTAAGCATAAGAATACCATAAGGAGCCCAAGTGATGCAATGATTAAGCAACTTAACAGAAGGATAGTGGTTTGAATCCACTCAGTAGTTCTGTAAAAAAAAAAAAAGACCTGGCAACTGTTCCCATAAAGATTACAAGCTAGAAAATTTACGGAGTAGTTCTAATAAGTCAGATGGGTTCTCTAAGTGTCAAAACTGACTCAGTGACACCTAACAACAATGAGACCACAATCTGAGGATCTTACATACCAGCTGTGGTTGTTTTGAAAACAAATTAAGGTAATATCTGAAAATTGCCCAGTACCCAAGTTTTCCTCGTGTAAAGGTCTGGACTTTTCCAGCTTTTTCAACTCTTATATTTGGAAGGCCTTGTTTTGACTGCAGTTCTATTTTAAGCAACACGAATTCCCTCCTCTCCATCCTTACTTTCAGAGTCCCAGCTTTGTCACAAGAATTCCAAACTCAATTGTGTTTTCTCCTAATGACTTTAACTGGTTCATCTGAGCCACAAGACCTCCCTGATCTGCCATATGCTCTTGTAGTAAAGCATTTGTCAATGTTACAACCTTTATTTACTACACAATATATTCCTTAAAACCAAGAGATAGGATAAATTCTTATATGTATCCTTAATAAGAAGTTCACAACAGTTTGCAGACTTGAACAGAATAATGATTCATTTTGTGGCTTATGAGAAGATTCACAAATCACATCAGTGAGCGATGTAAGAGATAATTAAAAAAAAAAAAACTAGCTTTATTATTATAATCACGTCACTTAACCAACCACAAAGAAATGTTTAGAAATCATTTACTTCATAAAATTATTGAAAATTATTAGTTATTCCTTAATAATATATTTACTAAAGATTCAGGTTAAAATAATTACAAAGTCTGGTAAAGTCATGCTATCTCTGCACACAACCAAAATATTTGGGTAAAAATTAACAAAATTAAATAATTTCAGTATTTCAAAAGCAATCCATTTTTTTGGTTATGCTATTCTTTAAAATTGATTTCCTTCAGCTCTGATTCAAAATCTATTGTCATAGACATGGCTATAATTAGCCTAAAAAGAGTTAAGTAAATGATACAGTATATCATGATACACGCATACATATATATGTATTAAAATATGTTAATTAATGATATACTAAACGATACTTATTATACACATCCTTCAAATTAATGAATGGTTAAGAAGTAAAAGACAGAAAAATTTCTCCATAGAGAAATAGTGCATAAAAATTTTTCTTTAATTACCTTATAAAGAAGTTACCAGATTTCAATAAAGGAACATAACTGTTAGACTAAAATGAAAGAAATGAAGTCTGCAATACAAACCTTCAAAACTTATTAGAGAAAGTAATTAGTGGAATGCTCAAGAATAGTTCTAAAAACTTCCATTCTTATATAGTTTCTAAGCAGCCATTTTTGCAAAGAGCTGTCATTACATGCTTCCACAGTGGGATGTTGGGAGCCATCAACTACTTTGCTTATTGAGAGACAGGATTGGGTGATTTTGTGAAGAAGAGTATGGGTCTGTTTGACAAAAAAAATAATGAATAATGACAAAACCAAGTACAAAGGCAGTAATAAATCAATCATCCTGGGCAACATACAATTTCTTCTGGATAAGGATGAAAAGCTCACGTCACAATAATTGCATCCATTGAGCTGTGAGCTGTATTCTTTTAGCTGGCTTTCGTATAAACTTTATTCAGTAGAAGTAAATGGAGCTAAGACTGAGGATATATAGAAGGGCTTGAGATCCAATGAGGAAAC